CTCTCATTTTTCCACATGTGGTTATCTATTTTTTGTCAAACTATAAAAAATACAAGTTACAAAAAAAAACCCTCTTAAGTCTTAACTTTGCCTAATAAAATCCATCATTACCATCTAATAAAATCATTCTTTGGTCATGTTTGGGAGTGGTTAAGTTAAAAATAAGTGCTTAAAAACAAGTGCTTATTYAAATAAGCACTTATTTGCATTTGGCACCCAATTTTTTCAAGTGCTTATTTTTTAAAACAATTACTTATTTTATATTGGGCATTTGGTAGTCTTTTTCTCTAGTAAGCACTTAAATAAGCATTTGTGACTATTTTCCCTTCATTATCTTTCAAATTTTCAAAATATACCCTTTGAAAGCACTTTTAAGAAAGTACATTTATGAAAGCATTTTTACAAAAACACTTTCATAAAAGTGTTCATAAAAGTACTTTTGTAAAAATGCTTTTGTAGAAGTACTTTCATAAAAGTGCTCTCATAAAAGTACATTTATAAAAGTGCTTTTGTAAAAATGCTTTCATAAAAGTACTTTGTTAAAAATGTTTTCATAAAGTGCTTTCGTAAAAGTGCTTTCATAAAAATACTTTTATAAAATTCAATTAGGGATAATTTTATAAGTGGTATTATAAAATTCAATTAGGGATAATTTTGGAAGAAAAAAATTGAATAAGGCCCTATTTGATGATTAAGTGGTTGTTAAATGAAGTACTTGTTGCACAAGTACTTTTTAGAAGTACTTATTTTAACAACCACTTAAGGTTGTTTGGTGACCCACTTGCCAAATCACTTATTATGTTTTTAAGCACTTATTGGGGTGGGGATGTTTGGTAAGCTACTTTCCCCATAAGTACTTATATTGACACAAATGATAATTTTAGCCCTCACTTCACAACCTCATCTTCTGGTTCTTGTTCTGATGCATCCAGTAATTGTTTCCGCTTCTTCCTTACTAGTAGAATTGTGATTAGAGCTCTTTACAAGTTCTCCTCTTCACCTCCATCTGAGTAAAACACCGGCCTGAGATGAAACATCTTCTCTATATGTTTAAGTAGTGTTCGAAAAGGAAGCAAAATTTCAACGTTCCTATAGGTTTGAACACAGAGGATAAAACATCCACTAATGAATCAAGAATAGATCGAATTTCATCAAATTCTTCTTCCGCTTCACCATTGTTTCCGTTGTATGATCAGAATCACATGAAAGAAAAGAAAAAAAATCCATAACCCAAGAACAAAATAAACCTGCATTCCCCCATAATGAAAGGACCCATCTCTCTAATTCACTGCAATTGTTCTTTCAATTAACACTTCCATTCCTAGACCAAATCTACTGAAGCCCATCAACCCTAACTACAGATTGGGGGGGGGAAGCACAGAAAGTTCTAAGTTCACCAAGTAAAAAGGAACCTCTTTTTTGTTTTCCTTTTTCAAATGTAAAATTGCATTCTAAATCAAATCAACGTAACACCAGAACTCTAACCACAAAACAAAATACCGATAATAGAAAAGCAACTAAAAAACTCCAAAATCAAATACCCACATTCGTAATTCAAGCCAATCTATAGTTAACAGAAAAGGGAAAGAAGAGAGTAGTTACCTTTTTCTCCGGCATCACTGCCGATTGTCGCCGGTGGACTTGCAACTGGTTCGCCACTACCTGGGTTTGAGGTTCAAATGAATGGAGAAGGATGAGGTATAACCCTCATGGGGGTATTTTAGGCATTATAAAAAATTATCAGGGACTAGTTCATCCCTTTTTTTTTTGGAGAAGAAGTACTTAAAAAAAACCAACTTGAAGTCACTTTTTCAAAGAAGTACTTTTCTTCCCCATTTTTTTACCAAACACCCATAAGTACTTAAAAACCACTTAATGTGTGGTCCTATGTCTTAAAAGATGTACTTCTTTTAAATGTTCTCAAACACTACCTAAGTACTTTTTCGGTACTTTTTTACTAAACACCCACAAGTATTTATTTTCCACTTAATGTGTGGTCCCAACACTTTTATTAAGTACTTATAAAAAAATACTTGTTTGAAGTGAAATCAAACGGGTTTAAAAATAAGCACTTATTTCAGGCTTATTTCCCAAATACCAATTAAGTGCTTAATGTTCCAAATAAGCGCTTATTTTTAAGCACTCTCAAAAATGACCTTAACCCCTAGCTCTCCCATTAAATCCCTCATTACATCTTAAATCTCCATTGACACCTTTTACTCTCTTAATAAAGCAGTGGTACAAATCAAATGGGCTTGGTTCATCTTAAGAGCCAATCCAACATTAATATGGAACCGAGCATGGACCCAAACTAATATCAAAACCCAAATTTGCCAATCTAAGGTTTACAAATTCGTTCTTTCGTGGAGTTGGGTAGAAGTTACAATCCTCTTTCGAAATGTGCTCCAACATGTTTGTTTCAATGACATCAACTTCATTCTTGAAGTGGAGTGGATCATAGATGCATGATATAATCATAGTAAATGGGATACCTGTAGCTGTATCCATGTCTAGGTCCTCTAGGATTTTAGAAAACAGAGAGTCATGTTCCCATTTACATATCTGTATCCATTCCTATATTTGTATCTGAGCATCATAGCATGGTAGTGATACAATGCAGACCTTATTCTCATAAACAGGGCACTTCCTTTGTAAAAAGACAACAATGCTCTTCCAGAATCCATATTGGCTCTTGTTGTTATGCTAATAAAAAGGAAAGACCAGTCCAATTAAAAAACAACAGAGCCTGGATATGCACTAGGCAAGAGGGGCATCAGGAATAAATGTTGAAAGCAACTAACAAGAATCAACCAAGGATAACAGGTAAGCATGTCATCTTCTACATGTGTTGGTGTTGTAACTACAATGCTAGCTATGAAGAACAACAGCTAGTGGTGGCAATTGGGTGGGTTGGGTTGGGTTGTGTTTCAATCCAACCCATTTAACCCACCAACCCGTTAATGACCCAATTATGTAAAAATAAATGGGTTGGGTTCAACCCAAACCCGCTTTAACCCAATTCAACCCGCCCAAACCCATTAATCTTATATTTATGTACTTAAAACCAAAAACTAACTCCATCCTAATACATAAGTTGGTCATAGCTTAGTGGTAATAGTAGTTGCTATTTACACAAGTGGTGAAAGTTCAAATCACATTACATACATTATTTTTACACCAACAGTAAAGCCATTTAATTATGTTCGGGCTTCGGATTTAACGAACCACTTAGGTTCAAACCAGTCAGACCAACTTGAACTATCTAATTGGATTGTCTTTAGCTAATCACATCAAGAGTGGCTAAACCATTTAGATCTAGACCAGTCCAACCGGACCAGGTCTTGACTAAACCGGTTCGGACCAGTCAGACCAGACCCGAACAGACCTGATTCAGTCCGGTCGGGACCACACCCGACCGGGCTGATTCAACTCGATCAGGCCAAACCCCGACAGGACCGTTTCACTCAGGTTGGACCGGACCGAGCCGGATTCGGGTTGGTCCTAGGTCAGAGGCTCCAAAGGATCTAGCTCAGTTAGCATTGTTGACCCGGGCCGGATTTGGGTTGGGTTGTATGGATACGATCCGAACTGGGCAAAGCAAGTGGGGTGGTGTAGGGTCTAGACTTCACCTGGTCCGACTCGCTTCGGATTTGGGTCGACCCACATCAGCTTGTGTCGGGTCAGGTCAGGCTGTGTGAATAATGGTTGGACTGGACGACCCGAATCGCGTAAAGCAAGCGATACTGAGCCATCCCGTTTGAGGTCTATTTCAAATTCGACTTGACCCGGATTGGTATATGTTGGATCGGGTTAGACTGTGTTGAATTGATCTGGACTTGGGTGAAATTGATTTGGATTTATGTTGGGTGAAGTATGCTAATTCAAGACAAAACTAAATTTAGTCAAAAATTAATGACTTAATTATAAATTATTTATTTCAAATAAAGAAAATAAAAAAAAGGTTAAGGAATTAATACTTATGTTTGTAATGGTTAACCCAACGGTTATCCACAACCCAACCCAACCCAACCCATTTAAATGAGTGGGTTAGGTGATGGGTTGATCACACAACCCGCCAAATAAATGGGCGGGTTGGGTGAGTTCAGCAGGTTGAGTGAAAAATTGCCACCCCTAACAGCAGCAGCACATGATGAAAGAGATGCATGTTTTACTTTTGCTCTCTTGTGTTGTCAATCTTAAATGTGTTGCTAGTCCACCATGCTGTTGTCTACAATGAACAATAGGAACCAGTAGCAGCTTCTTCTTTCCCCTTAATCGTTTACTATATTTATATGAGCAGTCAAGCAAAGTCATGAAGTCACCCTTGAAGGATGCAAAATTTCATCCTCCTAGGGTTAAATTAAATAGTTGCAATTGAAAAAGTAGGGAACCTTGGAGTTTGGCCCTTTGAGAAGTTCTTCTGTTTATATTTCCTCATTCTTCTTACAACTTGATTTCCCTATTGGTAACAAATAAAACATTCCCATCAAGCCCCTTCCCTTTCATTCTATCCCTTCCATTGCCCTCTATAAGTTTTCTTTTCAATTTCATATTTTCTTATGTTCTGTTGCTTGTGCAGGCTGCCACTACTCCTATATAAGTTTTCTTTTCTATTTATTTTCCTATAATATGTGATTTTCTGAGATCTGAATTGGTTATGTCAAATGGAATGTGCCTAAACAATGCAATTATTGGCCCTTGCCATGAATGATTCTTTACAATTTAGGCCATTGCATAGAGCTGGCCTATGTCAGGCACTTAGGCTTAAATGGTGAAAATGAGGCAAGAAAGGACATATGTTCAAGATGCTTAACCTGGTTTGAATAGAGACAGATTCAAATTTCTTCAACATTCATGCCTAACACTGGCTCAACAATAGATAAGCCATTTTGGTACCCATCTCCTCTAGGCCGTGGATGGCATTATGTTGACAAATGACTGAATTCAGATTGAATTCAAATGAAACACAGGGTTAAGAAACAAATAGATAAAACAATCAGGGAACAAGCATGGATCTTACAAACAAATAGAGTCAAGGTTAAGAAACACGGGTTGAAAAAAGTAAAGCAAATGAACCTGAAATATGCATTCGTTAGGAAATATTTGGGCGTGGATAAATAGACATTTAAAACCCTACATCAAAGGAAACTGAAAAAAAAAGGATGAGCAATGGCAGCTAATTATACCTAAACACGGCCAAAGAACAATGAGCATTTAGCCTCCTACAAGACAAAAATCTAGATTAGTATGTATGAAGAGAAGAAGAAAAAGACATGAAAAAAAATCGAAGATTGGAAGAAGAAAAGGAGAAGAACGCACCTGTGTCGATGCTTCTCAGTCGTTGGGGCAGAGTTTCACTCAGTCAAGATCTAGCATTTTGTTTAAGATCAAATTCTGAATCAAAAAATTAAATGAAAGCTCAAATTAAAAATTTGAGCTGCCATCCAATGGAGATTCAACTCAAGATTTGAAGATATCGTCCAATGTATGAACTGGTGTTGGCGGCGTGGAATGAGAGACAGTCGTCGGTGAAGGGAGAAGGGAGAAAGGTGAAGGGAAATGAGGTTACCTATTCTTCGTGAAGATGGGAGAGATTGAGAGAGAGTGAGAGAAGTGTGAGAAACAGTCCCGAAACGAGAGGAGAGAGTCATAGAGTCGTGAAGAGGGAGAGTCCAAAAAAATACACAAATTCGCATGATATCCTTACGCGCCATAATAGTCGTTGGTATATGACAATTTTCTTGTAATGAATTTATGACAAACTGATTGAACGACACGGGCAAAGATATCATCTGCATTTATGCAAAAGCTTCCTATACATTTATGCAACCTATCATCTGCATGACATGGTCATGAACTAGTTGGTTTTCAGTCATTATCGTGGTCATCAACAGTTTGAAGACATTTTTTCTTGTAGAACAATTCTGCTCTTCATACATGGTCTTCAGACTATCTTGAATATCTTTGCAGATATCAATTTTGTCAAATTGTCTCTGAATAAAATTGTCCAAAGAGACTATAACATAACATCGGGTAAGAGAATTTTTCTCTTTCCATTCCTAATATTCCATCATTCCTGCTTTAGAAGCATTGTCATTAATTTTGTTTTGTTAGTGTAAAAACTTGAAATTTTATCTATAGCAAGATTTAAACCTTGGTCATTTGATTTTAACAACCACAAGTTCACTAATGAGCCACACATATTGTTTGCTATGATTATATGTAGTTTTAATTTTCAGTAAAATTTTACTTTTCTTAATGAGTGACAAGTGTTTTGCAATAAATGCTAGAATTAATTATTAAAATTTATATACTAATAAATATTAAGATTAATTATATTGGTTTTTTTTTTAAATTGACATTCACATTTTAGTTTTTTTTTTGTTTTTTTTTTTACATTTTAGTTATTCCATCATTTTTCAACGGTTACTAATTGTGTTCTGATATGTCACACTTTATATAAACCATTAAATTATGATTTTTTACATTTAAATGAGTTTTTTACAATCATATAAAATTTGTAAATATTATTAGTAATATATATATATATATATTTTGGATTTATTGGAATTTTCTACCATATTTATGTGTATCTTGATTTTCCGTTCGTATCCAAAGTGTATCCTAATACGTCTCTTAAAATTGTCTTTCCGGTACACCTTGCGTTTTTGATACTTCGAACCTTGACGTTAATTACATGTGTCTTACTGTTCATTTCATTGACGATGAGTGGAAATTTGCACAAAAAAAATTAAAATTTGTCCAATTCTGATCATTCATGAGAGATAATTGGTAAGGCCATTGAGAGGTGTTTACTTGACTTGGGCATTGAAAGAGTGTTCATTGGAATGGTGGGCAATGCAACTTTAAATGATGTAGGGATCCAATACCTAACGAAAACACTTAATAATTGGAAGGGATGTGATGGGCCAGGCCGGAATAGGCTCGGGCCGGGCTTTGACTCTATTAACAGAAAAATGTTAGGCCCGAGCCCGAGACCGGCCCGACCAACGGGCCTACAACTTGGGCCCGAGCCCGATCCTGATAAAAAGCCCAAAGCCCGAGCCCAAGCTCGAAGCCCGACCTAATAAGAGAAATTCAAAATTTTCCCTATTAAAGTAGACATTATCTATTTTAATTAAGATGTTTTTTCCCCTATTTAAATGAACAATGGGCCTACAAGTGAATCAACAACCTTCTCAAATCAAAAAAATTATTCAAATGGACATCACATAGGGTTTTTACTTAAGTTTAACTATAGGTCGAGCCGGGTTTACTTAGGTTTAACTATAGGTCGGGCTAGGCTATTTTGGCAAATCTCGAGCCCGGCTCTAATTTTATGCGGGCCAGGCTTTTTGACCCGAGGTTAAGCTCGCGGGCCAAAAAGCCTGTTCAAGCCCGTCCAGGAGTCAGGCCGGGCCGAGCTAGCCCGTCGGGCCACCCGGCCCATGAACAGGTCTAGATGTATTTTAAAAAGTGAGTTCTTACACATGAGATGTCGTGCACATATTTTGAGCTTAATTGTCAAAGAAAGGTTGTTAGAGCTAGACGATTCTATTTTCAGGATTTGTTCTGCAGTGAAATATGTAAGATCTTCACCAATAAGGTTGCAAATATTTAAGGATTGTGTGGAGAAAGAAAAAATAGTGAGTATGGGTCTTGTTTGCCTAGATATTGAAACTAAGTGGAACTCTACTTACTTAATGCTGGAATCTGCTTTGAAATTTCAAAAGGTGTTTGATTTGTTGGAGAGTTTTGATAGTAGGTATGTAGATGATCTTACTCATGTTAAAAACAAGGGTTTGCCTACTGATGGAGATTGGGAATATGCTCGTGGTTTGCTACATTTTCTTAAATTTTTCTATGAAACTACATTAAAATTGTCTGGCTCGCTTTATATAATTAAAAATAAGTACATGAAAGAAATTTATGGTATTGAAATTGTTTTTTCTCATATGTGTAAGAGTGATGATTTCTGTATTAGTTTTAAGGCTTCTAAGATGAAGAGGAAGCAAGACAAGTATTGGGAAGTAAGAGGAAATGATGATTTCTCTATTAGTATCATTGTAGTTATTCTTGAGCCCCGATGTAAATTGGAGTATGTGGGTTGGGTTATTAGTTAGTCATATGATGTTGATACAGTTAAAGTGCTAAAAAAGAAGGTGAAACAAGGTTTGATTTCTATGAATGAGTTTTATAGTTTAAGTCAGTCATCTCCTAATATTCACTCAAATAATCAATTTCAGGATCCAAATGATATGGAAGTTAAGAATGTGGAGGAAGTTGTTGATTTCATGAATTCATTATTTAACAAGCAAAAAGTGGGCCAATGAGGTGTAGAGAACAAAACGAAATTGGATAAATATTTAGGGAAAGAATGTGAAAAATCCAAAAAGTAAATCATTTGACATATTGACTTATGGTTGTGAACCTTGGGGTTTTCTTAATTTTTTTATGGTTATAGACTTGCGGTTGTGGTTTTGATTTTTATGATGCAAATTGCATGGTTTGAACTAGGGATGCAAGAGAAAGATAATATATTTACTATAGGACTGATTTTTTCTTGGTTAATTCTTTGACAGCCATACAAGTTTGTTTATTTATTTTAATTCTTTGACGGCCATACTTGTGTTTGGTTCTAGCTCTACTAAGTTTTTCCCCTCCAAAGATTGTACCATTAGGGAAAAAATTTTGATGGGAGATGGAAAGGGAAGGGCTTGGAGTAGTAGGCTTCAAAGTTATTACTATATTGCTCTATGGAATGATTAAGTGGTGACAATTTTATTTCATATTTTGGCTTGAATATCTATGATAAGGTGAAGGACATTGTCATTTAAGTTGCTTTTTGCTTTTAATTAGTAAGAACATGACAGGTGAATAAATTTATAAATTCTTTTATAGACCATGGGACTGACTTACTAATGTTTTGATCAAGGTTATAGTAGTAGATGACAAGATTTTGATTTAATGTTGATGGTGGGTAATTTCTTTTAATAGCTATTTTAGAATTAGTCATTGGGTTGGTGATGTAGAAATAAAAGCAAGGAAATAATCCATGGGGAACTAAATCAGTTTTCTTCCTAGCTATTCCTAAACCAATTTCAGAATTTTTAGGTGATAGGGATATTAGTATTTGTGAGTTTTTTTTTTTAATTTATTTTTTAGTTTGTTGGTTTGTAGGAAAAATGCTTTTTAAGTCTTCAAGTGCCTATGTTTTGATGCATGGTATCAGAACTAAAGATAAACATCCAAAAGAGTGTACTTGTCCCTGTTTGGGAGGTGCCCAACATAGGCTAACTAGTGTGGCTCTCTACCAGCTAGGTTCTTGGGGTTGCCATTGAGAGCTAGCCACAGGTCCAAGGAAATATGGACCTCAATGATTGAAAGGTTTATAAGAAGAAATTTGTAGGGTGAAAGAGGGAAGTTTTTAAACTTTTTTTTTTTAATTTTGAGTGCATAAAAAATGTACTAGGGATGGCCAAAGCATGAGGGAGGAAAACCTTAGTGGTTTGGCCCCACCAACCAACAACCCTTGCCATCCACAACCTTATCTAAACTCCAGGTACAAAAACTTAACATAAAATGTTTTCTTGGCCCAACATTTTTCCTTGGATTTTGATGTATTGAACACTTCCGTCTCCCCTGTCTTGCAGATGTTGGATACGTTTGAGTAGCATACGCTCAACATGTAAAGGAGCTTATACAACATTTCAAACACTTCAAAAATTGCTCATTGGTGTGTTTATCATTTGTTGTGCAACAGCAAGAATCCCTTTAGAGATGTTGTTACGGATTGTTTTAGGTGGGCTTGCAATTCTCAGTGCTGGTTTAGCTTATGGTTTAAACGAACTCTCAAAAAAAAATCCATCAATTATGTTCATGTAGACATTGATTAGCTTATGAAAGAAACAGTGAAAATATGGATAAAAAGGAAGAAGAAAAATTACAAAGGTTATGAAACATAGTTGAGGTTAGAAATAGGGTTGTAAGGCTTTATTGACATGTTTGTATATAGATAGAAATCATCTATTTTGAGGATACAAAAGAAAAAAGAAATAAAATGAATGAGGCGGATTGGGTATTCAAAATTGAACTAACTAGGGATGCAAGACCGTAAGAGGGAAGGTTTTTTCCTTTTTTTTTTTTTAATTTTGAGTGCATCATAAAAACAAAAAAACTGAATCGTGGTTAATTGATCCACCGGTTAACCAGTTGCATTAATTTGGTTTCGGTTAAGATATTTAAAAAACCAATCAGATTGGTTCAGTTCATAAAAAACCCACGGTTTAAACCATAAGCACCCCTAGTCAATATGTCATATTACTTATGATTTGACCCATGATTCTCTAGAAGTCACATGCTTATATCCTAGATTGATATTTCATAAGAATGTCTTTAGTTGTCTTATAAAACATCAATAAAGGGGCTTATTTCATTTAGCATTATTTGCATTTGGTATACTATGAAACCTTGTCAATTTTGGGATGTTCTCATATTTTCAACTTTGTATTGAGTACCATAAATGTTACGTGTATCTTGGCCATTCACCATTTTTTGGGGGCAAGTCTTCCAGTCCCATGATAGTCGGCACCATTTATCCAAAATGTGTATGGCCCTTGTCGATCCATTAAATTGTAATAAACTTTTCCTCCATATATGTGAATGAAAATATAGAGTAGTTGTACATACAAATTGCACCATTAATAATGAAACTCTAGTGTCATACTTTCTCTTAAACATCATTGGAATTTTGGTATTAATAACAACTTAATTTTACACTCTTGCTTGTAAAGACAAAAACACTAGAAAAACATTTTATTTGACCAAATTGCCCTTTAAATCTGAGATGGCCAAAGTTATTGTTCATTGTCTTCCTCCTCCCGACACTCATACATAGAACTCGGTGGGATAAGTCATCCCCTCCGATATCGAGGGGAAGACTTTGCCATTCTTTTTTAATTATTTTACAATTTCAAAACTTATTTCCCCTCCGAGATTGAGGGGTAAGTCATCCCTTCCTAGGTTCCTTCTGTAAGTACATGCAATTCATTATCACCAGGACTACGGTAGGGATGTTAAAAGAAAACTAGAGAAATCTCAACCAGGACACCTCTATAACGGCACAACGACACTTTATCAAAGTAATGTAAGGGCCACACACTTGTGATGAGCATAGAAGACTATCCTACACTTGCGATGAGCATGAAGCACCACCTGAGGCTTGCGATGAACATAAAACACCTCCCTAGACCTGTGATAAGCAATCGACATCACTTGAGACTTGCGATGAACATAAAATGATATCTCAAGTTCGAGATGAGCCCAGTGCACTATCAGCACATTGCGATGAGCATGAAATGACAACTCTTGCTGTAACGAATAAATGATAGACCTTGAGGCCGACGACACCCGCCTGCAGGAAATTGGCATTCCTTTTGTTCATAGCTAGTTGTGACGAGGTGCCTCATAGGTAGAACACCCGAGCACACCAGTGAGATCCAGGTCTTGCCCTTGACATGTGTCCATAGGGAAACCTGTAAGGAAACGTAACCTACATGTGCCATGTGAGAATCCTTAGGAGAAGGAAAACTTTGTCCTTAAAGAATCTCGTGGACATGTGGTGAAATTCCAATGGTGCTTCCCTTAATAACTGACACAAAGATAAAAATCTCATTTTAGATCATTCTCTTTATAGCATTAGGGTCATCTTTATAAAAAGAGGAATAACTCTCTCTCACGTCAGACAATACCATGTAACCCTGATCTAGGGCTTCTCATAAGAGCTCTCTCTCTCTCTCTCTCTTCCTTCTCTTATCTCCTCCCATCGTCCTTTACAATCGGTATTCCTCTCGACATTCTCTCTTTATTGCCGTCTTCTCTGGACCTTTGGAGACTTAACCAACCTATATCACCTTACCACCACAATTACACCTTCCAATCTTCCATCTTTATGGAACACCGATTAACCGAACCAGTGAACCCTAGCCTCCATTTGATGCTCTTTGTCAGTTCCACCCTCCTGGTCCTGGTCACCACCTTCCATACTTTCCTTTCCCTTCTTCTCAATCTATTATCTCTCTTTAAGAAGTAAGGTTATGCATTCATTCTTCCTTAAGGACCACCACAGAAGGAAGAACTGAAGAGTCGAAGAAGGACACCTGGTTGTTGCTCGCAAGAGGATGAAGAAACGCTTAACGCTGAACACTTGAATATTGTGAGAGACTCTTTTGGTTGCATAATGAGGAATGAACACTTGAAGGCTTTAAACCACCAATTGCCTTCTCTATTTATGGGCTTGGTTGAAGGCTGGTTACCGCCTCACTAGTCACTGTTGATTGTCGTTACTATCTTTCTCAGAGGCAACAATCCAAGGAAAACAAGATACTATATTTTGTCATCAACATTGAATGCTTACATTGTTTTCGCAATTTGTTTATTTGGACTTCAGGGTATTACGATTCATCTTTTTTCCATCTTGACCAGTCACCTCCGACAACAACTAGCTGGCCGATGAAGTGGTTAACTGGTTTGCTTCAATTCGGTTTCAAAAAATTAGTCTCGAACTGTGACTGCCCCTAAATGTTAACTTCCCCTTAGTCTCGTAGCTCATGAGAGGATAATGTAAACAATTGTCTCGTTTTGTTAGTTATATTTTGTATTTTTGTTAAAAGGGGCAATTTGGTCTGAGTGTCAAAGGAGTGTCGGTGATTTTCTTGTCCCACTTGTTGTTTGGTCGTTATTTTAAAAACATAACTGATTTTGTCAAATGACCAAACTTGGTCATTTATTTTGTAAAAAGGTCCTTTAACATTTAATCACATGTTTAAATTATGTATGAGAATGTGTGAATGCAAGTTATATAACAATAATAGGTGGTATTTGTTAATATGTCATTTGGCCCAAACCATATTAAAAACCAGACTTAATTGTTTTATTATGATTTGGTCTCAAATTTACTGAGGCCACGTTTGTTTGAGGTGTGAAATTGAACCGTGGTAAACTTTACACCTCGGTTCGATTTTGTAAGCATCTAGATAGAGTGTATATTTACATTATAAATCAGTGTACAACTCCATTTTGAAGTACTTTTACATTGATAATTAATGTAAAAAATACATTGAAATTGTCGATGTAAAACTTACCTATTTCTACCATCAAGATAAAATTCCTCTCACTCTAATGTCTCCACATCAAGGGTGGAAGCTTTGGACTTCTTTTTAGCATACAAGGTGAAGTGACAGCAGCCACTAAAATAAATCCCCTGGTCGTTGGAGATAAGGGTAAAGTGCACTGTGAGCTAAGCCTTCTGCTTGCTGCTTGAACAACCTCTTAGACGCCTCTGCCCCGACAACTCTCACATCCTCTTGTCTCATCTTGTATGCCTCTGCCATTTTCTCAGATCTTCGTTCCACTACTCTCTCTCTCTCTCTCATTTGGTGCTTTATAGTAGAGGGAACTGTGAAGAGAAGTATCGAGGAAAGAGCCAGAGTCTATGGTTGGAAATTTGGGAACCGTTGGATCAGGATTGTTGCATCATATAGGACTATTGCATGCATATTGGTGTATGGTTGGAAATTTACACTGACGTCTATTCTAAATCCTGAAAAAAAAACATCAAAATTTACACCTTGACAACTAAACATGATTGGTGTAAATATTCAAAAACAATCGGTTCCAATTTCCATCCATCACTGAACTGATTCATATTTTCTATCGATGTAAAATCGAATTTACACCTAAAACAGTTTGAGATCTTCTCCAAACCAAACTAAAATCGGATAATGAACATCCCTACCACTTATAACAGGTCAGCGGTTCAACCAGATGGATCGGATGGATCAACACCGATGTAAAATCGAATTGACTATTGACCCTGCCCTGCTCCGGTCTGATGTATCCTCGAACCGAGTGGACCCTAATCTGGGCTGGTCCAAACTGAGCTCGGTCCAGCTCAACCAAGTTGCAGCCCCACACCGTCCCGCGCGTACAATTGCCAAATTCAAGTTGAGCATCTCCCATTTTGGGGTTGAGCGACCGGGTCCGGAAAGATCAGCTCAACAACTTCAGGCGGAGGCAGGACCCTACAAAGAAAGCTTCCGTTCCACCCACTGTCCCGTTCTCGTGTCTTCTTTTGGGTGGATCCCATACGATTTTCTTGTATTTATCGTTACATTGGAAAAGGTTTCTTTTAAACCATCAAAAGCCCCTCGAATTATGTCCCAATCAGATGGTCAAAAGTATTTGGACCCACCCAATGAATGGTCCAAACCATAGGAAGCGTGGCAATTTCAGCATATTTTGCACTTTCTGTGGCCCCAGAACCCCAGAGCCTCGTAGCCGGGATGGTCTTATCATCATCATTTAGAAACTAGAAAATAAGGAAACAAAAGAAAAACACGTGGAAGAGCGAAAACCGTTGATCCACGTCATCGTCATTGCGGCAATTATTCGACGCATCTTAAGTGAAGAGAACACCGTATAGATTGTGATAAGGATTTTGATTCACTCAATCGAACGGTCCATATCACGCTTACAGGTTGAAGACGTGCAGCTAAGAGTATATTTTCCATTGGGTTACCGATTACGTGATGCATGACAAATCGTTCCCTTCTAGTTTTCTTTTTATCTAATTAAATCCGGGATTTATTAATTAACTAAGAAAACTTGTTAAACAATTAATGCGACCATTTCAAAGCGCCCGTAACGCCCTTCTCCAGTTCTCCTCTTCCCACACTAGCTTTCCACGGGGGCGATGGCGATGGCGATAGCAGTCAGTATCTTCCTCCTTATTCTGGTTTTGATCGTCGTCCTCTTGCTTTTGTTCTGCAAGCCATGGCGTTTCTTCTTCTCCTCGTCTCAGACCCGCCCGATCAAGGTAGCTAAGAATCAACCGAAACCGATACAAAACTGACATTTTATTTTTTTTCTCTCTCTCTCTCTCTCTCCCTTACTAATTGGTTCCTTCAGCTCTCCATACTCGATTCATTTAGTTTCTGTTCTGCGTCGATTTTGGTGTATTTCGAAATGCAGTTTGGATTCCGCGAAGTGTCTTTATTTTGAATTTGCAGAGTAGCTCTGGTTCTCGCAAATGAGCATTATTTCGGACTTATTTTCTTGTTAGGGTTTCTAGATTAGCTTATTTATGCTGGTATAAAGTGAAGAGAAGGTTTTTTAATAGAACTGGGTTGATTTTGTGAGGACCGTCTCCTGATAAAAATTAACATGAAAACAATAAATYACATGAGGAAGAACCACTTCTACTGGGGGCCAGCTCAAATCAAATCAAACTTTTCTCGTCTTTCAAGTCTCAACCATATGGAATCTACATATTATAAGGACAAGCTCTTACTTATACTTCCCTGTAAAAGTAAAGACATACTTAAAAAACTTAACAAATCCCACCTAAATCAAGCCTAAATACTATCTAAATAATTGAACAATTTTCTTACAATTTTAGTCTAACTAAATAACCTGTTTATTATATTTAATAAATTTGTTGCTAAAATATAATCGTTGCAGATGTTTAGACTTTCCTCATTCGTTAGTCCCATTGCTGGAATTCTTGTGTTGGGGTTACCAACGTGTGCATTTTTACCTTGTCTGGATGTCAGAGGCTCAGAGCAGGGGAAGTGTTTTCTTTGTCAATGATTGCGGTTATTTTCTTTCGGTTCTATATGGAAATTCCGGAAATGTGGATACATAGTCTGACTGACTGACTTTTATCAAAATTTTAAGTGCTTAATTAATTTTGTTGAATAATTGTTGGCTAATATGTCTAATAAAGAAAGTGCTTGACTTCACTATTCATTCATAGATGCATCTGAATAAGCCTTCTTTCAAATTAATGCACTATGAATGGGAAAACTGCGAGGATTACCCTTTGTTAATCTTAAAGGAACATGGGTACCATATGAAAGAAACGATTAGTTATGTGGTTAAAAGTCAAGTAATGGGATTTATGGGCCTAAAGAGTGAAGTTTCTCTGTTCAAGAGATCCGAGTGGCCCTTTTTTGGATCAGCACCTAGCTGGTCTTTTTTTTTTTTTTTTGAAATCACAAAAATTGTTTCAAAGGCTCAACAAACTTTTCTTTCATTTATTCTTTCTCAATTACTAAGAATTAAACTCTCTCTCTCACACACACACACACACACACACACACACACACACATACACACACACAACACACACACCTACTTATTCTAAAACTAGTTATTATAGTCATGAAATTGTCCTTTTTATCAACTTGAAAGATAAAATAAGGAAAACATAACCTACCTAGTTCTTCTTCTCTGTCTATACATCCGATATACTTCAGGTGCATCATTTGTTTTTTACTCTATATGTGGTTTCTATATACATGGGCTGTCTTTTGGGATGTATGGAAGTATCAAATTTATTAACTGCTTGAGATCATGTGCCAATGCCTGCTTAACCAGAAAAGAAAAGTGTGTAGATATCTTACGCTTCTGAATGATTTTGATGAATGGTCTTGCCCTATAAGTAACTTTACACATTTTTTCTTTCTTTTGTTTATGCCTTGGATTGATTAACTAATGTTTTATTTTCTGGTCCTATTTGCAGGTCAGTGATGTAGAAAGACCTCTTATTTCTGATTATATGGATACTGTCCAAAATCAAAGCAACGACTCGCCAAGAAATAGGTTTTCAGAGGGTTCACATCTTCAAGCTGAAGGGAATTTTAGCTCACCAAGAAAACAAGGACCTGTCTCTAAACAGAGGCTTCCATCAACAGATGCACATTCTAGCCAAGGCATGCCATTCTTTTCTTAATCTATTTATTCATTTTTTTTTCTAAAAGTTATCTTTTTTTTTTAATTCTAACAGAATCACTTATCTCAATGCCTTCACTCCTCGGAAACTTACTGCTGTCTGTTCTTGTCAGACTCAAACTTGGCTCTAGATGCAATTTCTGATCTATCAGAAAATGTCATGGTTGGTCATACTTTAAAACGCACTTTGGTTGCAAAGCACCCAGTTGAAGAGCGAAAACATGCTAGGAGAGAAGTGCCAAATTATGGCTTGCCACTCATTTCTGAAAATGATAGTCCTCGAGAGCCTATGCTTAAGGATATCACAGCTCAAAGTATTCTCTCATCCCATCACATAGGAGTTCTATTATTTTTTTTGATATCTGAAGTGGTTACTGCTGTATGGTCCTCTTTTATATATCAGTTGAATGTGTAAAATATGTCATCCTATTGCTCTGTTAGAAGTGCAGGAAGCAGCCTGACTCTGGAAGTTATATCTGGTCCTTCTTGTGGGCTTCGATGTTCCCTACTGTCAACTAATACATCTAAACTTCCTGTGACCCTTGGGAGAACTTCTCCAAGTGATCTGTTACTGAAGGATGCAGAGGTCTCAGGAAAACATGCTCTGATTAACTGGAATCTAGATGTATGTTTCATCTCGGCAAGTTTGATTTTCATCCCTTTTGGATTTTTGCTTTCCTAACTATGGTTTTGATGGTTTACTTACTGCTGAACCTATATTTTCTGGTGGCAGAAACTGAAATGGGAGCTTGTAGACATGGGAAGCCTAAATGGAACACTATTGAATTCCCAGGCAATCAACCATCCTGATACTGGGAGTAGACATTGGAGTGAACCCGTTGAACTTGCAAGTGGAGACATAATAACTCTTGGCACAACATCTAAAGTTTTTGTAAGTTGAAGAGCCATTTCATGTTTTATTAGCTAATTTTAGTAGATGTGGTTATTGCTTAATATGGATGTAAAATGGTAAATGGACTGATGTTGCACCAATTATTTGCTTTACATTTCTCCTTCAGACTGAGTAGGGGTGTGAGAGATGCCTTTTTTTTTAAACAAAATGTTTCTGTTATTGATAAAAAATAGATGCCTGCTTTTGTCGCAAGACTCCTTCATTCCACCTTTACTAAATATTTATAATGAGATTGTCTAATGAATCATTCATATAATTGATACTAGATTTCTGGTTACCCAACATTTTAGAAGAAAGAAAGCAACTTGGTTAAATCCATGCAAAAAAAAAAAAAAGAACAAATAAAAAAATGGATCCATTAGGAAAAGAATTGAGAGGCAAAATCAGGTAGATAGTATTTTCTTATGGAGAAAATAGAAAGAATGACAAGCTTAGGACACTAGATTTCTAGTCATCCATTGAACTCTTCTAAAACCCTAAGAGGAGCTAAGAACTCTATTTGCTCTATTAGCTTTTCACTTATTTATTTATTTGGTCCATAATTACCAAAGTGCCCTTCCCATTTATGATTTAAACTTAAAAAAGGCATAAAACAATCATTTTCTTTTTTTTTTGTACTAAATAACTCAATTATGGTAGGTTTTGAGGCTTACACCTTTCTACACCTCATGCCTTGAGGCTTGAGGCTTACACCTCTTTCTGACACAGGTTTAAGCCTCAAACCAAAATTTTGAGGCAAAATCTGAGCTCTTTGCCTCAAGGCTTAAGACTTTTAAAACCAACCCTAAATCCTTAAATACTCTTGAGCACTACCACCTTATTTGCTCTCTGCTTAACCCACTAAACACATCCACCATCAAAGTTAATATAAAAGGAGATAGGGGCTTGCACTGTTTAAAACCTTTTCTAGCAAGAAACCTATTTTTTGGTGTTCCATCCACCGGTACTGCAAGGGCACCTTCTGATCTACTTTCTCCATGCATGCCAAATCCCTTTTTTCTAGTGCAACATCCTGAAAAGACTTTTTTTTGAAAGGTGAAAAAGAGATTGTATGGACCATAGGCTATAAAGGAGGGAGAGAACCCAACTATTTGAGTTTGGCTACATGAATCCTATCCCTCCATTGTGATCTATGAGCTATGTTTTCTTTCAAGTTATAAGCCTTTAAACTACCATGTAGCATTAGCTAAGTCTCTCTAATATTTATTCCATCATCAAGTTTATCCAACTATGAACTTAATGCACACTTTCTTATTTGATATCTGCACTTTTAAAATACTGTGCTTACTACAGGTCCTTTTCATTTTTATTAGTCTATTATATGTTCATTCTTTCACTTTTTGCAGGTTCAAATTACTCAATTTGCAGATTGCCAAATACCACTTGGAGTTGGTGTTGCATCTGATTCTATGGCCTTACGTCGAGGAGGAAAGAAGCTTCCTATGGAGGACGTCTGCTATTACCAATGGCCTCTTCCAGGATTTGAACAGGTTTTAATGTTCACTGGATTTTATTTTGGATATCTATCTATCTATCTATCGATATATATATTCTGTTAAAGAGTTGATCCCATGAAATGTGTAATGCAGTTTGGACTGTTTGGCATCTGTGATGGGCATGGTGGAGCAGAAGCTGCCAAATCTGCTAGCAAGTATTTTTCTTTCCAAGTAATTTTGTTATAATTGAATGAAATTCACTCCATAAAACACCAAAAAAATCTAATGTTTGTTTTCTACAATCAGGAGTATGCATGTTAATGGTTGGTGTCTTCTTGTTTTATCTTCATTTCCTTTGACTTCCTTTGTATGTGTATACATATGTTGTGTTATGGGTGAATACATTGAGATGTTAATCTACAGAATACTGTGGTGCGTGTTCTTTAAGTTTTTGCTTCAAATGGGATAATATGTTCTGTATGTTGTATCTAAAAGAAAGATTTACATCCTATGTCTTGGAACTCGTTTTAGTTGAAGCATAGTGTCCAGAAATGCATTCTTTATGCCATATCTATTGGAAATAGAATAATTGTGACTCCTTTTCATTTCTTTTTTATTTGCATTTATCATCTTATGGAATTTTCTTTTTTGGCAACCTCTGAGATTTTATCATCTTATTAAATATTTTGGGTTAAGAAATTTAAATGCTTCAAGTGTATCAATTCCATCTTGGTTATGGCTTCATCTCCCATAAGTTAATTGCTACTTCATGTATTGCATAAATGTTGATGATTCTGAGTTTTACTACAACCAGGATAAAAATCATACAACCAATGCTCTGTTGTAATATGTTGACCTTTTTCATTATGTCATTTAAGATGCTTCATTTCTTTTCTGGTCTTGCTTTCCAACTATGTTAATTAAGAAAGTGGGACTGGATTTTAGATAATCATCTTCTTTATCATCTAATGTTTTTATTTATCTTCAATGCCATTGGATTTTAGTTTTTGTTTTCCGTTTGATTATAAAAAAAAAGATTTTAGATTTTGTTAATCGTTAATGGCCTTGATATTTTATTTTCCAGAATTCTTCCTGAGATGGTTGCCAATATCTTGTCAGTTTCAGAGAAAAGGCAAAAGGTTCTTTCTCTGTGTGATGCCTCAGATGTGCTTAGGGATGCATTTTCTCAAACAGAAGCATTCATGAATCATCAGTATGAGGTTTTCTCTCTGCCATTACTTTCTTATTTTGACATTAAATTTGTACTAGGATTTAATTTGAATTATTAATTTTATGCATGTGGTACATAGGTGGTTTTCAATCTCTGTATCTTTTCAGTCTTCTTTCCTTTCTGTGGAGTTTGTTTTATCTAGCTGTCATTGCTTGTATTTCTATCCTTCACTCTTTATCCCATTTTTGTGATTGTATGTACATTTTCCCCTGTATAAACTAGTTTCATGTGCTACAATACTTTCTGTTCTTATAGAAAATGAACCCTAAAAGACAGAATGTAGTATCTGTAACTGTTTTGCAATGTATTTAAATCTAGGCCATTTTCTTTTGGATATTGATTACTTTGGTTGGCTAGAATACATTGAACAATGTCTTGTTGTTGAAAATTGGTGTCCTTTAACCTAACTTATTGTTTTATATCACTCCTTTTTTTTTTTTTGCATGTATACATGCCATCAGCTTCATATCTTCCCATGCCAAGTGTTCTTGTTCCCCTTTGGAAAATGTTGAGACTGCTTTGTAAATCACCATATATCTGTTAGAAACTTGGTGTATGTATTAATTTTTTTATCAATAACAGAACTTTCCATTAATAAAAAGAAAGATACAAGGGAGGGGAGCTAAACTTTCTTAACTCCCCAAGGAGGCCAAAAGCCATCCAGAAGAAAAGATTACAGTTACAACTGAGCCCAGTAAACAGAATCCCTATTTACCCCTTGTCTAGCTAGCCCATTGGCAAAGGAATTTGCACTTCTCTTCACCCAAGTACATTTTACATTAATATCCTTAGTCAGCCATTTGAAATTTCTCTTTTCATTGCTGTAATGCCATAGAATATTTTTGTCTTCCTTTAACTAGCCCACGGCAATCTCAGAATCTCCTTCTATAATCAGCTTATTGACATTTAGATCTTTAGCTCTTTTTACTCCTTCCACAGCTGCCAGAATCTCAGCCCTAAGAGAATCACCTTCTCCAATTGGGCCTGAGAAAAGAGCTAATACATTCCCATGCTCATTCCTTAATACCCCTCAATTCTTGAAGGCCCTGGATTTCCAATACTACTGCCATCGAAGTTCAGTTTGATGAAGGTGCTAGGAGGAGGAAGGACTCAAAATCTTCTTAGTTGTGGCTGAACTCGCAATCTCTTTCCTGTTTTTTAGCACATCATCCACCAAGAAGTCAGAGAACAGTTCTAGAGTTTTCAACCAATATACAACCCTTATATGGATCACTTCCTGCACATTTTTAAGCTTCTTTCCTTGTCTAAAAAGATTCTTGTATTCCTTTCTTCCTAGATAGTCCAACAAACAGCATCCCGTGCACATCTCCACACGATCCTTCCTCTTTTCGTTGGCCAGTTGGAAGAAGCAGCGAATAAGCTTTGCACATTTACTGCAGGGTTCTGCCTGCACCAAAGAAAAGAAGTAAACCAATCCCAATTACGTTTAGCGAATTGACAAGATATTAATAAGTGGTAACTAGATCTGAAGGCTATCATTCAAATTAGGGCGGGTACAGTGGCTGAAATCTTTGGAGCTTTTCACAGATTACACTGTGGATGACTTGTTGAGGAAGTGGGGTGAAATTGCAAGTTGCACACAAACTAAGTCATTAATGTGTGTGGCTTGGACCCCTCCACTTAGTGGTTTCGTGAAACTAAACTTTGATGGGTGTAGTAGGGGAAATCCGGGACAATCAGGGATTGGGGGTGTTTTTAGGGATGAAAATGGGGTCATTTCTGCCATGTTCTCAGGCCCAATTGGAGTGGGTGACTCCCTTAGAGTTGAGATCTTTGCAGTTATGGAAGGAGTCCAAAAAGCTAAGGAGTTGGACATCA